ATTTATGCAAAGCAAAGGTTCATTGCCCAATTTTATTTCATTTCACTTCAATTTTTCCACATTATAAAATCTTTACAACATTATTCACAAAGGAAAACTTCATTGCTGCATCTCTTGTAATTAATAGAGCTAATTTACATATGCTAAATGATTTCATCAAATCTTTCGTTTGGACTCCATTTTTAAGCTTTCAAATTTGCTTTGTCAAAAAATTTAAGAGAAATGAAATAAAATATTTGTATAGTTTAACTGATTATGTTGATTTTAAATTTGGTTGATCAGTAATTTGCAACGAAGTGAAAACCTTGAAGACCTGTAGCAATGCAAAAATTATAATTTTATGCTACTCAAATGTTCATTTATTCTATGCAAGCAGAACTTTTAAGGTTGGCTTTTTCTTTCCTAAATTTTTTTTTTTTGAACAAATTTGTTCATACTCTTTTCAGACAAATTCAATGCTTTGTCTACATTCCGCGTATATAACACTTATATTAGAAAGTTAATTCGGTTAGAATTGATTAAAATAAAATTTATTGAGTAGTCAAAAGTTAATGTGATAATAATGGGAATGTAACCACAATGAAGAAGATCAATGAAATACATGTGTTATACTTTATTAGATGATTGATTTCTGATCCGTTCCGCCGTTGATCTCTATACATATTACTGTATAAGCGCTATATTGTACGACATGGTAAAAGAACAATAAAGCTATTGTCGACGTTTTGAAGATATGAAACAATAGTAACATGTACTTAAAAAAATCCCCAGCAACCATAACTTTTGTTGTTGTAACGGCATTAGAATGATCATTATGTCTCAAATATATATATATATATATATATTATTACCAAGCGAGACTTACCCATTAATTCTTTATTACAGAAAAAGTCTTACACGTATCAAAAACTTCAATAGAAATTCTAGGATATTTGGGATAAAATGGTGGATATACACATTTGGGGAATTTCGTGAAAAAGTACATCTAACGAAAAAACTAATACCGTGAAGTTCTACGGATTTGATCATGCTTCATCTACCGCACACAACTGTGGCTCTTTGAACGATTTTACCGGTGTTGCCTTCGTACCGTTTTAAACATCCACGGGACTGAACATATAACCAATGTTGTTATCCAACAAGCAGGCATCATTAATACTGAGATCATGTTATCTATCCACTGTGGTTGGATGGTTACATCTCTAGGATGAAGGATCATTGTCTTCGATTCTAATTCTACGATTATGCTGTGTGGCGAAATTGCCACTATCTACTGAAATAGAAAATGCCCCCAGAAAAGAGGTACAAGGATTGCTGGAATTATCCCTCCGTCTTGGATAAATTCATCTCAAACAGTGAGATATAACGTTGAATGGAGAATCTAAGGAATAATTCTTAAGGAAGATTTTAGTTTCAATTCAGCTACAAACAAATCATTGTTACATGCATTTCCAGTTTAGATTTCAATTAATTAACCGTTTATTTATGTATTTCATTAAAGTGAGGGTGTACAATATGTGTGTACATAATGGCGGAAAGTGGAAGTCGATCCGTCATTGATCCGTCATGTTAATGACGGATCAGTGTACACTGTTTCTCAGTGGCATATCCAGGTATTGCGTCAGTCAGGTAGATCTGACATGGAAGGATATCAAAGGATAGTCTTTGGGGATGACAAAAGAGGTGTCAATGTGTCGATGCAATGGATCGATTAAAATAAATGCAATGATTAAGAGGTAGGAAGCTATAGGTGGGTGACTAGATTTCAATTTTATTTTTTGAATTTTCGAGTAAATTTATAAAAACGAAAAAGTTAGATAAGAAATTGAATTGTTTTATCAGTATCTGTCAAAATTTGATTGCGTTTTATTGAATTTACTTTGCTGAAACATAAAGCTATACTAAAACTTGTTGAACTTCGAGTAATTTTACTTTTTGTTTTAATTCTGGATGAAATTTGTCTTGATGAAACATTTAAGCTTACGCTGTTTTTTAATCTTTGGGTTTAAAAGTGCCGGAAGGACAGAAATAGTCTTGTAAAATAACTTTTCTATTTAATAATCAAAGTACTTGCACTCTTTAACTTTTTTTTGTTGTCCATCCGGTTCATATGCAAATTATTTCAACTTTAATTTTATATTTCTTAAAACTGGTAAACCCAGAGTTTGAAATATTAATTAATTCACGTGTAAATTGTTACACTGTGAAACTAATTTTATATTCTGCGGTTAAATTATTGTAAAATGTTTCTTTTAACTTTTTTATTTCAACGCGACAACTTATTTATCCATTCCCTATTGAGAACTTTGACCCCGACAGTTTAACGACTGTATTATCCTGGATTGCTAGTCATCTGTTTCAATTCCTAATCAAATCTTGGGACAGTTTCTTCAGTTATCAATATTTATTCATTCACTAGCATTTGTCATATAATATTACCATTATTATTCAATAAAGAATGAACCTTTACGGCAGTACTTGTCTGTAAAACTACAAATTAGTTAAATCAAAAAATTTCTACCGTTTGGCCGATTCGAGCCTCAAACAGAATTCTTATATGTTTTCATCGAATTATTTTATTAAAATTTTATTAAAATCCATGAAAATCTTGTCGATATATACTTCTCAGTTTAATAAAAATCTTATGCATTAAAAAAAGGTAGGGACATGTTGCTTGATTATGCCTGAAATTATTTACACTTCCCAAAAATTCATACTATATGCTTTATTCTTTTTAAATTAATTTGTACGATGTTGACTGAATTATAATGCATATTTTCGATTAGGAGAAAAACTTTGGCACAATTGCAATTATCGGATTTATGAATCTTTTTTCAGAAGTCAACTAACTTTTGAAAAATTCGTAACTCTAGATTTTTATTGGAATCTTACGTCATTTTAATGATGAAATCTTCAGAAAAAACCAAGCTTATTTAGTTTACTTCACTTTTTCACTCAGTTTCATGAAACATTTTATTTCTGTTCCAGATTTTCAAAATAAAATTTTCTTCTTTTAAAATTAGAAATTGAGTCAATGCTTTCTTTTTTTTACGGCAACTGGTATGTACAAACTTTAATATTACTTAGTGGAAATAGATATCTTCATTTTTAATCTTTCAAATTTGCTTTGTCAAAAAATTTATATAAGGTATTGTTAGAGTTAATAATATAGCTATTTTTAAGCTTTCAAATTTGCTTTGTCAAAAAATTTAAGAGAAATGAAACAAAACAAAAAAAAAATTTAAAAAAAAATATTGATAATAAATCCAGTTGGTCGGTAATTTGTGGCGAATTGAAAAAGCTTTCACGGCTGTAACAAGGCAAAAATTACAATTTTATGCTATTCAAACATTCAAAAATATATTCCTTGTTAGATGATTCTAAGTGATGATTGGTGTTAGAAATCCGGTTAATTTAACAAGTGAAATTCAATTTAATGATATAGATTCATTAGGTAAAAGAAAAAAAGATTTCTAGTGTATATATATAACGAAAATTACTTTAATGTAACAAATTATCAGCACATAATTTGTTAGAAAAAAAATCGGATACTTTGCATCATAAAATTCCATTAAACATTAGATTAAAGATCTTTCTAATTGAATATTCTTTACACAAATATATAATTGTATCAAAAATCTATTATTTAAGCAATCATTTATCAACACTCATCTTCCAGTTGTAGCTGAACCTATCTGCATTGTTTAGAATTTTATAGCTGTTAACAAGGGATGTATGCATTATTTAAAATGTTCATTACATCATATGTTGTATACGATGACTGTATAAAAATTGAATAAGCCTAATTTATACACATACATACAAAGCAATTTAGAAATTAAGTTTAAAAATAAAGACCAAACAAAAGATTTGATGAAATCATTTAGCATTTTTTATAAATCAGTATCATCAGTTATAACAGATGCAGCAATGTAGTTTTCGCCTTTCGCTAATATTCCGAAAGATTTGAAAATGTAAAAAATCGAAGCAAAAATGCAAAATGTCACAACTGCTTTGCATAAATTAGTTCCAACAATGCAATATAGCAGCCAAAATGAAACAATTCAGTGCAAAGAATTAAACGCTAATTGCTAAATGTAATGTAGCTAATATCAGATGATTGATTTTTGATCCATACAACAAAAATAAAATCCTTGAAACGAATCCTATCAAGTTTTTCTTACAGTTTTTGGTTCAAAATTTGAAATTTCACTGTAGACTGACCACACATTCTTTAGAATTTTTGCAAAAAAAACCTGCTCTCTGATTATCTGCTTGCTAAAGATCAACAATAAACATTGAATTTATTATTTTTATTGAAATTTATTAACACTATTGAAAACCTTGAACTTATTGTCCTTTTTCACCTCCTTCCTGACGCATGCATTAGGAAAATTTAACATCAAAAAATTTAAACCACCTACTAAGGTAGACCTACTCACTACAAAGCTTGAATAATCTATCATCCATATGGAAGTAAAAAAGGCTAAGTACTTTAAGTATTTATCGCACTATCCAAGAAACTAGGATGCCATCACTATTCACTGAGTGATATAAATACACAGTCGAAACTCACTAATGAAATACTAATAATGGAAAGAAATAATTTGATGACTTATCTTCTCAGGAAATTATGTGAGTGTTAAAACATAACATGCGTAGGTTAGATCATCAGCTCTACATCTTTAAATTGAATTTCACTGAGCTAAAACAATCCTTGAAGAATTTCCATTACAAATCGTCACTTAAATGAATAAGAAAAAGAAAGAATTTCATTTCTTATAAAAAGAGAAATACTTTTTATAAAAATTTTTTCTTATATGAAAAATATTCTTTTTGCAAATTTAACCTTTTCAGTTATGGAACTAATGAGAGATATTAAATAAAGATTAACCTTATGTCAGTTGAAATATTCCGCAGTTTATGACAGATAATTCTGTGAGACGAATTTGATACAAAAAAAATTTATTAAGAAAATTTTATGTATGAACTATTATCAATTAATATTTTCTCTTATTTTCCTTCGCTGTACCAGTATGGTTAGTCCAAATATCGGCAAATGCAAGTGTACCAGTAAACACCAACGCTGCGCCAACCCAATGTGCTAACGTGAATGGATTCCGAAACCAAACAATGGAGATAAGTAAAGAAAGAAACTTCCGTATGGTAACAACCATTGTTACGGTTAACGATTCAAAAGTAGCATTTAAACGATATATAAAACTAATGCACATCCATCTGGAAATTAATTCAATCAAATCATTTAATGATATTGCAATGGATTTTTTTTTTTTCAAGTTCATAGACTATCCTTTTATCAGTTACTGCGGCAAAGACCAAACAAAATACCAAACAAAAATAACGATCTTTCAACCGCTTTAGGATAAAAAACATAGTATATGTAAGTGTGAGATTTCATCAAATAAAAAAAGAAAGGAAAAAAACAAAGATACATACTGCAAAACGCATGTAGCAGCAAGATAAGCCCACATGTGTGGAACATGAAAGCCAAAAATATTCATCGGATAACTACGTGAAAATTGAACAGCTGATTTATAAATATCTCCACCCATAAATGCAAAAAATGGTAATGAAGCACTGTGCTATAAAACAAACTATGATAGATTAAACTCAAAACTGTATTGTAAGATCTGCATTTTAATTATGTTAGATAGATTCATTGTGCATTATAAGAATCAAAAATGTCAATAAGTAACGGCTAGGAAGAAAAAAAGATTTCTGGTATGATTTATATTAATTTTTATGCTTAATATTTGGGCTAATTTTTCATGCAACAGAAAGACATAAAGGATTCAATATATTTTTTCTTTATAAATAATCAAAATCTTAAATTTATGAACATAAGATCCAATCCACAGAAATTTCTTCAACAACCAACTTACAATTACAAATACAGCTTCCTCAGTATGTTTTCCGTAAGTCTTATACATTGTTTCTTGACAAATTCCCAAATATGCGGATGCTAGTAAAGCTATAGTAAGCATAGTCAAGCCTGAAACATTTTTAACCGGTTTAAGAAAAAAATGTCGAATAAGGGACATCTTTTATAATTTGCAAAGTGTTTCCAACATTAAAATATATGTGATAGTAATATCTCAAATTTACTTAATAAACTTGCCGACTAGCCATTCTTGATAGTGCTTCTCGACGCTATCCATTGTTTCTTTTCCATCTATTTTCTTAAAGATTACTTATCAGTTATAAGAATCCAATCAACAATCAACACATAAATAGCTACTGATGGATATTCCATATTAAATTCATAATATCAGCAATACTTTTTTAAATCTCCACTTGCTGATCATTTCTGAAAATTCAACAATTCTTTACCAAAATTTTCGAAATACTAACCTCCAAATGAGCAGTAGCGGTAGTACATATGATTATGCCAACCGTGATCGACAGAACTGCTAAGTATTTCCGCAATGAGTACTGCTTCCCTTGTAAAATTTTCGTGAAAATTAGGCTAGCTAACAGTGAACCCTGAAAGATCAGTTCATTTGATATTAAATGATGCCAATAAAAAACCAATCATCGTTATATCAATTCATAAAAAAATATATTCATATTGTGATCATAATATTTCTTGATCAATTCATCCTCAATCTAAACAATTAAATGTTATTCTTTTCAAAACACATCTCACAAACTTTAAGCTGTTTTTTGTTTTTTTAATTTATTGATAATAAGACTGTAATATGGAAAATATAACTTACTGATCGAAAAATGATATGTAAGGGGACAGGAACATGAAAATTCAAAGCTTGGTTGTTGATAATATTAACACAAAAGAATGTTATTACTGTTGGCAGATAACCACTGAAAAACGATGAGAGAGGTATTAAATGAACAATCAATGAACTGATTAACTTCTGCTATAACTACTGAAAGCTCATATTTGAAGCTGCTAAAGTTTGTCGTCCGATTATTCATTTTAATCAATCTTGGAACGATTTTTGGGGATAATAAACGTCTCATTTACTTGAATAGACCCAAATTCGCTCGAAGCTAATAATTAAAACCAAGCTCAAATTTGGAAACAAAATAGAACTTCAAAATGAAAAAAGAAAAGAATTCGTCACTGAAAAGGAAATTCGAATTTTTGAAAATCAACAGAGATTTCCGCCTACCGTATGGGAATTTTATTGGGGACAGCAAAAAATTTCGACGTAAAAATTAATCCTTCCAACGATATGAAAAGAAATGTCGAAAAAGTCATCAGATTCATCGAACTAGGTTGTTCCCTAAAAAATTGACTGAATAGCTAAGTTTTCGAAATTTTTGCAATTTAGTCGAAAATGAGAGAAAGTATTTCTAGCTTTCTCATTCAAAATCAGTATTTGCTAGAAATGCAGCACGGCTGTACAAAAATTTCAGCAATACTAACAATAAGTACTTTCTGATGAAGCTGGCAATGTATCTTATTTTCGTTTTGGTGGAAAATCCACTGACTTCTGAAGTTTCCACTGCTTCACATATGAATTTTGTATTGTGGAAAAGTTTAATACTATCAGTGAGAAAAATCAAGGGATTAAGTATTGTCACTGTGAAATGACCAAAAACAAGCTGAAATGTTCCAATAATTTCGCAAAAAAGAGTGGCAAGTGAAAGTTAAATATGAAGAAGTATACTTGGCGATAGATTCTACAAAATACATGCATCCAATGCAGCCAACCAATGTGCCAGATATGGGGTACAAAGCCACCGCCATGACCTGAAATTAAATTTGGAAAAATAAGGAAGATTGAATTCTGTAACATACTTTTTCCTTTTATTTCACTACCCTTTTATTAATCAATTTTTTCTCAATTAATAAACATTTAACAACAATATTGAACATCTCTAATCTAAAAAATATTGCAGTCAATCAGCACAGACACAAAATTACTCGAAATAAAACATCTTACAGAGAAGAGGAAGATTTGCTGGAAATTAAAATACGAGCTAAAGCAGATTTTATTATGTGAAGTGAAAATAGATTTCATTAGGCTTCATATTCCAATCCGCCTTCTGATGAATAATGTGGAGTTAATCACTTCCAGACGCATAACACGAAACGACAAGAAATTATTATTTGGAACTTTCGGAACGCATAATATTTCATTTTTTCAAAAGAAAATTAAAGCAAAAAATTTCTAATGATTATGAACTTGTAAATGAGAGGTTCAGGGATTGGAACAGAATTAAAGAAAGCATTGATCTTATTTCTAATTTTGAAAACTAGAAAAAGTTAAAAAAAAAACCTTTCTATTTTGAGGAATTGGAAATAAAATTGAGAAGAGAAATAAAATGTTTCATGAAACTGATTGAAAAAGTGAAATAAATTAAATAGGCTTGATTTTTTCTGAAGACTTCATCATTAAAATGAGACAAGGTTCCAACAAAGATCTAGATTAACGAATTTTTCAAAGGTCAAAAATTTCTGAAAAAAAGATTTATAAATTCGATAATTTCAATCGTATCAAAGTTCTGTTCCTAATCGAGAATATAATGCAAAGTTCTGTTCCTAATCGAGAATATGCATTATACTTAAGTCAGCGTTGTATAAAATATCTAAAAAAAAAAAAAAAAAAATGAAGAAAATAACATGAATTTTTGGGAAATGTTAGGAGATACAATTTTAAATAGAGTTAAAAACTCTGAAGTCTAAAAAGGAGTACCAAGAAAACGTGATTTTGGAAATTGCAATGATGATGGACATCACCTGTAAAAATTCTGCTCAGAACAGCTCATGATCAAAACAGCATTTTCCAATAAAAAGTTGGTCTAAAGATAATTTAAATGCAGCCTTGATTCAAGTATTGATCATCTCATTGAGTTTATCTCAGTGCACCATCGAAATGCTCGAAATATTTATCGAACCGTGGAATATCTAACGTTCTCGTCAAAGAAATCTAAGGATTGTTTCGATCAACAGATGAACATACATGGTGTGAACATGCAACCAACTGCTCCAATAGAAGTGAACCAGAGAAGTGGTATGAAGAGGTAAACGTCGGTTCACTCTCATATCGGAGACATACTTGTGCTATCGTCTTTGAGAACGAACGTCTCTTAAAGAAAAAAAAAACAACCGTCAGTATCGCCCAAGAAGACTTCCCGATATATCTTTTGCAACAGGATTTGATTGTTTCGCATTGGTCTTTTCAGCAGCCATCAACACGTTTGCAACAAATGTAAGTTGATCATTTCACAAAATTTTGTTGACGAAGTCAACCCATGAATGAATGCATAGGTAAAATTATTACTTTAACATTTTATCACGTTAATAAAACATGAAAAGAGTTTTGTGGTTCTCCCAACTTTAATAATCCTAAAATAATGAGTTTAAGATGATATAAACAAATGATAACAGTTCCTATGTGCGCGAAACTAAAGAAATAATTATTTGTTAATTTCAATTATTAACCAAAAACTTTTTGAATTTCATAAGTACAACTATTTTTTTTTAAAAAAACATAATGATTATTGAATTAGTTAACAAATAGTGGATAAATCAAAATCGTAAGATACTCAACAATGATGGTACGATGGTACGATATCTGTAAGAAAGCAGTGCAATATAATTTTAAACAGTTTTTTTTTTTTTTTTTAATTTAACAAAGAAACTCGTTTAATTGCAATTAATTTAAATTTATCGTGTTAAACGCAACTACTGCTCGACAATGCCTATCGAGCTGAAATAAACGAAATTCACATGCTCACGAGTAACAAAATAGCGATTATTATACATTAGCAGAACCTTTTTCAATTTTGATGGCTAAATGATTTTCTTTCTTTCTTTTCACATTTTTTTGTTTGTACTTGACGTTTGTACTTTGTTTTTTTTTCTTTTTTTCTTCTTTCTGATGGATTAGAAAAATAAAACCGAAACATCGTAAAAATTTTTTTTTTTTGTCTAAGGAAAATGAAACATTACCTTTTGTTTCGTTCTATAAAACATATGTAATTCCTTTTACAGTTTGCCTGCCATTATATGTACTTTTTAAAAAATTTTTATATCTTTTAATGAAGATAATTTACTGATCTGTGTATTTCCACGATTTCCACTTTGAAAATAATATACAGTTAATGGAGATACACTCATAAACAATATTTTTAATATTTAACATGAGAAATAATGAAAAAAAGGAGATGATGAAATGATAGACACGCGAATTGCGTACTAGATTGTAAAACACGCCCATCATTTGTCCTCATCTTTTTCAGCATTTCTCCACAGAGACATTTTCTTTCAAAGTTCTTCAGCGCTGTTTATTTTCTGATATCATTTATTGACTTTTTATAATTGTTGATTTTGTGCAGTATTTCTTATAAATGACTCACTTCAGATGGTTGTTAAATTTTGTCGTTATATTTCAGATTGCCCCTCAACACGAATCAGGGAACATTTTCATTCGTCTGTAATTCCACCACTGTGCATTTCAAGAATTAATGATTTTATTTGCTTTGAAATTACTGAATCGAAAAATGCCGGTTTTTTGAGGAAAATTAGGAAGAAACAAAATCCATTTGCAAGGTTTTGATGAAGAAAAATACCTATTAGTATTTCCCAAGGACAAATGTCTATTTTGGGATATATACGATTCTATGAAAATAATTGGATTGACTATGAAATTCGAGAAAAGCAGGAAATTTACGTAAATATTTCTCTTATTATTGGTCCTTCCTATTAAAGCTAAAGTTCTTTCACCATCTAATCACTTATCGCTGTGGTAAACAGTCTCTAAAGTTTCTTTTGTAAGATTCGCCTGCCGAGGGAAACTGTCCGATTTGCAGTCGTGGTTTACAGTCAAAAGGATTAACTTCGACAACCGTCTTAATTTTATCCCAACTCGCTAATTGTAGCTTCCTATAGTTTCCGATTTTATAAGATTTTATAAGGTTAGGACTCTCCCGTTTATATCAATTTTTCTGACTTTTAGATAAGAATAAAAAAGCCAAGGTGAAAACTGCTAATCAGGAAGAGTGAAAATATCCGGAATGAAAGGTACAGAAAATGAAGAAAGAAGTGTCAAAGCGTAGGGATAAAATACTAAATCCACAATTAGAAACTGAAATTTGCGAGTAAATCCTTCTTTATATTCGTCAGAAGATCTTAAATCATCGGTGTCATTTTGAATAGCATCGTCAGCGTTGATTTCATTACCATTCAGGTTAGATATTCCCTTTTATTTGCACATTTTGTGCATGTTACTAATTCAAATTCAACTTAACATTTCTATCTAAATCTAGAAATAAATGAATCGAAACATAAGAAAATTTCATCTCGTTATGTTAGTTATGTTTTTCCATAATGAAACAACTGTTTTTCTGATTTTGTTAATCAAATAAATATTATTTTAATGTGTGAGTTGGAGTGTTACTAACCGAGGAATTCTGATAATAAATTTAAGAGTTTAATTTCTTAGAATTCTTATTTGTTTATCAGCTTCTTGTTTATTTAGGAAATTAAAAGTACATGTTCATTTAATATTTACTAATTTAGTAGTTTCGCCTTATTTGATGGTTTGTTGATATAATAAAACTTGACAAAGTGTTGGTGTTTACTGCTTTAGAAAGTAAGAATTTTTATTGCTTGTAGTTATTTTTTTTACAGGAAATCAGGAGTTTCAATTGTTGATGCAATAGTGTAATGATGATAAGATATTTTATTTATTTCTGAACAAGTAAGGCTTCATTTTTTTTCTTTTTTTTTTGTTTCAGAAAGGCAAAGATAAATCAAACGGCTCACAATGAATTCCATTTTAATATCAATGCACTGAATTGAGCTTTGTCTTCGACATCAGAATTAATAGCTGGAGTAAGACAGTTTTGACGACGGATAAAAATCTGTTGAAAATTTTTAAAAGTTTTTGATTTAAAGGAAGATGATACGGTTACACAGGCTGGCATCTGTGTTGTTGAATAAGGTTTGTCTTTTAGTTCGAACGTTTTAGTATGTTATTACCAGTTGTACTACTTTGTTGTAGAGAATGAATAATTGACTTTCTATATAGGAGTCCATTATTTAAACTTCATATTTTTTGTCGATTTGTTTTAAAGGAACGAAGCAGCTGTGAAGTTTTAAAATAGTTGTTTTTGAGTGGTTTATGATGGGACTTCTGATGAGTTTTTAATTTTGAGTTATTCGGCTAAGAATGGCTGCTCTAATTTTCTTGAGCAGAACTTTAAATTACTGAAATAATAGATGTCTTATTAGAGTACTATCACTTATTCAGTGGATTTCGTAAATTTTCGTTTCCAATTTTTTTATTGTAAATAGTCATATGCCTGGATAAGTATTCATATTTTGGAAGTAAAAATGATACGTATTTCGTGAAAATAGCGATTTTTTGAATGATAATTTGCTTGCAAGTAAAATCATTTTCGATCAGTTTTCATTCGATGTAATATATTTTTCAATACGCAATTTTTTTTTAGACAAAAAATTGAAGTTTGCTTTGTTTTATAATTCATTAATAAGTTTTTTAAATTCATCAATATTCAAGGGGAAGTTTATTATGAAGTCCATTCGAGTATTGTTTACTTCAGTGAAGAGGATAAACGAAGCATTGATATGCGGATGACTGGGACAATTAAATTATTTCATAACAGATTATCCTTGAAAAGATTTCTGCGTTTAATCCAGTTTAACGTTATTTTTTTTAACTCCTTAACTTATTTCATTATATTCTTCAGTCAGTGCTATTTGAATTAATATTGGATATA